GTCGCGCTGTGATGACGTCACAGCGCGCTTTTGTCGAGCGCGATTTTGTCCTACGCGCTTTTGTGGTGGAACCGGCTAGAAGGTGGGAGATGGTGAGTTCTAGTCCCATGCTAAGCATGAAGCTAACTGGGTGACCTTGAACAAGTAGTCATTGTCTTTCAGTCCTGGGAAGGAGGTAATGGCAAACCACTTCTGAAAATCAAGCCAAAAACACTGCAGGGGCTAATATAGATGGTTGCTAGGAATCAATGCTGATCCAGAAATAAATGATAAAGATGATAATGATACGTAGGTAGGTAGGTAGGTAGGTAGGTATGAAGGAAGAAAGGAAGGAAAGAAAGAGAAAGAAAGAGGAAGATGAAAGAGAGGGAGAGAGGGAGAGATGGAGACAAAGGAGAAAAGTTATGCATGGCCAAACTTCATCACCCCCCCTCCCCAAAGAAAATCAGAAGTTAAGAGAGCATAGTAAAAATAAAATGGTTATGATGTTTTGCTCTTCCTAATTAGCAGGAAAGTCCTGACTTAGCTAGAACTCCAGAGAATCTCCTGTCAAATCTGGAAACCCAGTGACAATCAGTGCGTTTATGTCACTAAACAGACCTTTGCAGAAAAATATCTGCATAGTTCCTCTGAGTGCTTTATGTCAAAGGTGCTTATTTTCTTCTGTGCAGGGAGCTACGAATGCTTGACTCCTGTACAGAGAAATCACTGTGAGAACCAGCTAAAGCGCAGACCAGGACGTGGCAAGGGGCGGAGTCAGCGCTCAGCAGGACACATGCGCCATGAAGAACCACCAGTAGGGTTTTGCGAGATACATTTTCTGCCCCTGATAGTGGTGGCGCAGGATCTGAAACACCTGCAGAAATTGCACTGCATAGGTGGGTGCCTGCACTGGGTCTTGAGAGAGTTACAGGGCAATGAGACTGGAAAGGTGTTGTCCTTCGTTTTGCAATAAATCATTTTGTTAATTTAAACCTGATTCTGCTGCAACTTTCCTCCAAAGCATTATCATAAAAGATGGCTACAGGAAGGAATGTCTGACTAAGCCTAAACTGAAAAGGTAGAATAATAGTTTGAAATTTTGGAAGGCAAAATGTAATAGACAATGCTGATAAATTCAGGATGAGTAAAGACTTTGGAGCAACTAGTTCTTATTTTCTTAAACCAGACTTTATTAAGCTGCCTGTGTCCCCACCTCATGTAGTTCGGTTTCAAAAATCTCTCTTTTCCTTCCTCAGATCTCCATGGCTACAGCCCATGCCCACAGCCTCTGCCTCTTGTCGGTTCTAGTTCCACAGCTGCCTACTGCGAGCTCAACGAGAATACACGGCGGTGTCATCGCCAGCAGTCTCCGATGTACAAGTTGTGCCGCATATATCAGACATGTGATCACGCAGTACTGATTGCAGGTGTGGAGTGGTGCCCGGGAGGGGCTACTAAGAAGTGCTCATTCCCATTCGGAGTTGGTAGCAAAAGGAGTGTAGAGAGATGAGTTTGAACCACTGAGCACTTGGAGAAGGATGAATACAGGCAGGGACTATAGGAGTTCTTGTATGTTTTGATGCATCTCAAGTGAAGGTGCTGACTGTTGTCATTCTCTTCCAGGTGGATGGCAGGAGCAGGTCACCTATCCTCACCATGCCCAGAACCTGTTGCTTTTCTACCAGATGCTTCAACGAAATGGTTTCCGCCAAGAGCATATCAAGGCTTTCTTTGCCAATGAGGGACAGGCTTCAGGTACTAAAACAAGTGTGCTAGAAGGGATGGGAAAGTCCCTTGTTCTTCTGTGGAGAAAGTGGGATAGTCAGAAAAGAAGGCTTCTCAATGTTAATGGTCTTTGTAGTGTGTTTTGAGACGAGAATCCCCTGTATCTCAACAGCAGTTGTATTTCCTTTCTCTTCCTCCTCCTATTCTCCTTCCCACCACACATACAGTAGTTATTTAGATTAGGTTTAAAAAAAGACACTCTTGTGTGGTTCATCTGTGGATGTGACTTTGTAGTCCCAGTCCGGAAGCACGGAGTCTAGCATAGTTGGGGCAGTGTAGTAGTAACTATGGGTGTTATTCTGGGATGCTGTTCAGTTTTCTATCAGTATACTATACAAACACACAGAGAAACAACTTCCCACTAATTACCATCAGGATGCCAAATTAGTTCTTGCATTTCCAAATTCCACTTCCCCATGGCCACTGAAAGATATGCAATCAGTACCACAATCAATCAACCCACAATCGGCTCCAGATGGTATGTCTTTGAGGAGAGAACTATTGGATCGATAGGTCTTTTCCACAAAGGAGACATGAGTGATCCTTGGAAATTAGAGCTGTAAATAGAATAGGTAATGGGAAGGATTGGATGAGAAGACACCAACTAAAGAATAGTAATGCCAGCTGGCCTTTCCCCATCCTCTTTCTGCAGTGGAGATGGGAAATGTGCAACCAGCGACAGAGAAGTTGGCGATCCGGTCCCACTTGGCACTTCTCTGCCGTAGTCTGCATTGTGCTGACACACTGGTACTCTACCTCAACAGTCCAGCTTCCAGTGATGGCACCATGTTCTTGTGGGATGCTAACCATAATGGCATTGTGAGTAGAGTCTGGTGGGTATTGATTGGTGGGGTGGATCCACATTGAAAACAAGAAATGGCTGCCCCAAAGATGCTCCCCTCCCCCCAAGAGGCAACTGTACTTCATTGTTTTTCTTTGAAGACATTTTGCTTCTCATCCAGAAGCTTCTTCTACGGCCATAAAGAGGTGGAGGTGATTTAGCCTGCCACCTAGTTGTTTTCAGGAATGATTTTTACAGCTGAGCCAAGCTCCTCTGTCATCGTTAGCTTATACAAGTCCTTAGACAGGACTCCATTTGACCATTTGCATGTGGTGAGGGTTTCATTGACTGGAAATGGACGGTGAATTGAATCCTCACCTGCCCCAACATGTTCTGGGCAGCCCAACAGGAGGGAGAAGAGCTGACAGACTTGTAGATAGACACAGCCCTCTCTTCTCACCTGTCCCCTTCAAAGGCCCATGTAGTTCTTTCATCCTTGCCTGCAGGGAGAAAGGCAACAGCAGCATTTGCAGAGGGTGCTGGCCCCAGCTTGCTCTTTCCAACTTAATCCAGCTTCTTTTAACTTCAGGGTGGGAAAATTCCCTTGATCTCTGGACCGTAGAGTTCAGATGGGGGAGCCAGGGCAGAGGAGCTGGTGCTAATGAGCTGCCCTTTCCCGCACAACAGGCTGATCCTAAGGAGCGTTACGCCATCTCAGAGCTCTTAACAGACTTGGAAAGTTGCAATGCCCAACGGGTCCTGCTCTTTGTTGACCAGAGCTATCCAGGGCCATTGGTAAAGAAGCTCCAGGCATCGCAGCGCCATCCCAATGTAGTGTTGGTCCATAGCACCACTGCCCTCCGAAGTGGATCAGCTTTTGCTGAATTCTGGGCAGGACTGCAACCTGACCAGTGTCTACTTCAGCATACTTTGCCGGTAAGTATTTAAGAACATTAATAGGTATTATAAGAATGTAAGAAGCTCGATCTGAAGTATTTTGCACCATCTGCTGTCTGTCTCTTTCAAACAGGGGCTCTCTTATTATGTATAGCATGTGCTCTGAGAAGTTGTCAGCTTTTAGAAGATTCTCTATCAATTCTAAACAAAAAGCAAAGCCACCAAAATAACATTAAAATCCAATATTAATGCTGGAATTTCAGATGATTTTACAACAGGGACTTTATTTTAAGAACATTTGTATGGCGACCAACTTATCATGTGACTCCAGGCAGCTTATAGAAATAAAACCCCAATTCAAAACCCAATAAACCCCCACCCTCCTGACAGCAACAATCAAACCAACCTCTTGGTGGGCTCCATATTACCCTGCAATCTCCAGGCTTATTGGCAAAATCATGTCTTCAGGGCCTTTTGAAAGCGTGTCAAAATGGTGAGCATTTCTGTAGAGATGATGTTTCACAGGGAGGGAGCCACCCCAGAGAAGGCCCTTTTTGGATCCACCAGTCAGACCTCCTTATGTGCTGTGTGCAGTATAGGTGATGGAGAAGAATGCTGACTCATCTAGGGCATATAGTCAATTGCTCCTCAATGGCACCATAGCAGATACAGGCTATATTTGTCTGGCCCATGGAACAAAGCACTAGGTAACTACATTTTAGCTTACTGAATTCTGCAAACCAACCCAGGTTATGCCAGTCCAGAAAATTGACTAATTGGATAAACCATGGTTATACTCTCCTCTGAAAATGATTACCTTTAGAAACCATGTTAGAGTTCAACTGGTTTCAGAATCTCTGCATTGAAGAGAAAAAATAAACGCTAGATCAGGAATATCCAGCAAAGTAGTCCTTTGATGTGAACTGGAGGGAGATTGAGCTCATTTGAATGGAGAACTTGGGTTTATTATACCTTGCTTTTTAAAGTTCTACTGCTAAAATAAATGTTGGATGTTCGTAACTTGAAAATGCATTTCAGCCATAACTGTTTAAATTTGGTGATTTACATTTAGTTGCTGTACCTTCAGTTGTAATCAGTGGTAGCTTAAGTCACAACTAATTTTTTCCAAAAGATTTAAATGAAATTTGTGCAATAAAAGTTCAGCTCCCAAGCAAGGAATTTTTTCTTGAAGTCTGCACAATTGAAAGCAAATGATGATGATGTGACTTCTTTTACTGAATAGCTTTATGGGGTGATGATATACAAGGTTAAAGTCATGAACTGAAACATCCCAATGAAATTGATTCTGAAAGTTATCAACTGTCCTTCATAGTGAAGCCAGTTTTTCCTGTTTTTGCAGGTGGGTTCGTGGTCTGCAGTCTTCGCCTCTGGCACTCCAATCCAGCTGCTCAATGTCACATTAGCAGGAGCCCCTTGCCATTCTGTGCCACCCTTAGGAGAGGAAGAACGCCAGCGTCGCTACCACGGCTGCCAAAATCTTCCCACCATGTTGTGGTATCAGAGCAGGCACCAACAGGAACTGCAACAGGATGACTGATCATGGTGGGCACTGTCTTGGGGGTGTCTATGAGGCCCATAGTCTTGTTCTGTAACCAGAGGCTCTTTCCTCCAAGGAGGTTTTTTTTTTTTTGGTTTTGAGGGACCCAGATGCAATTAACACCAACAGTCATCCAATGGGTGGATATGATACTGTTGCTGGACATTGCCATAGTAGGGAGAAACTTTCCTAGTAATTTGTCTACAGTGGACTCTACAAAGTTGTTCAATTTTCCAAGGCAAAACTGAGAAGCAGATGTGCCACTGTTGGTTCTTGTATATTGTTAAGCATAAACAGATGAAAAAATGTTAGATCACAAGTGGAAGAACGAGACTGGAAGATTCCAGTCATAAGTCAGAATATATTTGGGGGGAGGGGGAACAGACTTCTAGGGTAACAACTTAATACCAGGCAGAGTAGGCAATGCACAGTGGAGGAAGTACAAGTGTAAAAGAGTAAAGCATCTATGCTAATGTACAAATTGTGCTGCTCTCTTGTGTATAAGAATCTCCCTTTCCACACACAATTCTCCCTCATGTTTTTCTCCATATAATACTCGGGAGCATCATGATGAGACAGGAGTAGGTGGAAAGAAGTTTTGAAACAATCAAGCTCTTGAATAAAAACAAACTTTATTCTCAATTTCCAACTGTGGCTATTTACTTGATGTGGAGATCCATACAGTTATAATTAATACAGGGGTGAATGCTCTCTTGTTGCCGCAAAGGCAGAAGAACCTCAGGAAACATAGCTACCTGTTCCTGCTTTGGAAAGAGTTAAAAACATGGGCTGAACGTTGGGATCATCCTGATGTGATCTTGATCCAATGTGTTCCTGACATACGGTTGGCTATATGTGCTCATTAAACTCAAGCGGTTATTTCTCTGTTGTTTCAATCATTGCAGCTGCAGAATTTTCAACCATCCTATCACCTAAGTTTCCATAAATACAAGCCTGGTCATGTGATGCCCCCGACGATGATAACAAGGACTTACAACCAAAATTCCCATCCCAATTGTGGTCATAAGTCAAGAACTACCTTAAATTGAGAACTAGGTATAATATGCACGTAAAAGCCACTTTGGGATGGTAATTAAAGATACTAGGCTAGAAACTGGGACACAGTGAGTTCTACCTAAAGTCTGAAGCCAATTGGGTGATTAGGCCAGTTCCTCTCTCTGCCTTAGGAAAAAAGCATGTGTGAATAATCAAACATGTGTTAGGGTAAGGACTCCGATGTACAGATAGTTCTCACTTAACAATTGCCCTTTTTAGGAACCATTTGAAATTATGCTGAAGAAGACTGGTCCTTGCACTTACAACCTTTGCAGCATCTTCCTAGTCACATGATCTTGATTCAAGCGTTTCACATTTGTCAGGTGTTTTCAGTTACTGCAGCATTCCAGTTATGTGAGTGCCATTTTTGCAACTTCAGTTTCCAATAAGCAATCAATGGAGAAATGAGTAGTAAAATTGTAAGTTGCATTCAAATGCGTTGCTTAATGATCATGCCACTTAGTGATGGGAGTTGGCGACCCCACTGTGGTTGTTAAGCAAAATCTACCTGCACTTTAGGAGAAAAGGCTACTAGAAGCCTTTTCTTATTTATTATCTATCTAGAAGCCAGTGTTAGATTCCGGATCCTGTTGCAACTGGTACAGTTGCAACGGGGCCCGTCGTTGTCCACATGAACCCGCGCAGCGCGCACATATACACATAGCGTGCGCATGCGTCTTACCATCCAGCGACGCCTCCATGATGCTCCAGCTGCTTGGCGGAGCGTCACATAGGCGCTGTATGCACCATGTCCGTGGGCGGAAGCACCGAAGAGTTTAGACAGGTAAGGAGCACAGGTGGGCCCTCCGGAGCACTGTACCGGAACAGTACCCAGTACTCCATACAGGCTCTGGTATGCCCGTACCACGGTGTACCCCCTGCAACCCACCACTGCTAGAAGCCTACTATTTATTACCAATATTTCCACAGTGCAACTGATCACAGCTGCCCATACAAATCAGCAGCCTGCTTTACACATCTTGCTAAGCCATCATGTGGCTTATTTGATTCTTATGTAATTTTTTTATATGAAATCTACCAAGAATATGATTTGAGATATAACTAAAGAATCCTCAGCTTAACATGTGTGAATTCAATTTTTTTTCTTCCCTCACCAGAGATCCTTTGATTTTCAAAATCAGAGAAGTTTAACCTGTTTTCACTGAATTTTTTCTAACAGCTCCCTTGTATTTATTCCGTCAATTGATTATCATGCACTTTTATGAGTCAATACAAATAGGGCTACTGGATCTTGACTGCAGACTAATAGATAACGGAAAAATTGAACCGTTTCCATATCATTTTGCTGCCATCTAATGGCTATCTTGATTTTTGCAACACGAGTCTGGCACTAAAGCAATGTTCAGTGAGATCTGGTAGGCTCTCTAGTGTCTCACTCACCCAGGCCAAGATTACTTCACCTTGCAAGAGGGCCCTAAGTAAGTAATAATAATCAATTCTCCATATAGCCACCATGAAGGAGCAGCTAGTAAACTAGGACACAGGTGAAAAGGTGTATTTCTTCTTCCTCTATCCTACCATTTCCACCCACAATGAATTTCTGTCCTTGCCTTAATTTTCTTTTACCACCAGATATAAATAAAAACCAGATTCATAATTATTAGTAAGACCAGCACTTTATGAATCTTGCTCCTCTCACCAACACAATGGTTGAAAAGGATTTTCAATCAGTTACTACTTAGTCCTTTCTTTTCAACCAGCAAGACTGAAACAAATGCAATCTGCAAATCGATCTGAAAACAGTTTATGAAAATCAAACAGACATTTCAAAATCAGAACTTATGAAAATGCGCCTTCTTTCCCTGAGGATTCCTCTAGTTCCATACAGAAGGCTGGCAGTACTCACAGCTGTAAGTATTTTCCTCTCCCTGCCTACCCAGTTCATCTTGTGAAGGAAGACATTTGCCCGTGACAACGGTGGCAGAGCAGGGTGACCCTGATCCCTGCTTCTCCCCTTTACTGACTATTCTGGATCACCAAACAATGGATTTTGCACCTGACAGGTGCTTGCAAGACAACTTATGGACCCATCATAGGCTAAGAATAAACAGAGTCTATGCTTCCTCTAAATTTGATTTCAATAACCACCTTGGTGCATCTGCTAAATGTGCTAGGGACCAGAGCTTTCCCATTGCGGGAGGAGCCATCACAAATGTCCAAGGTAAGGTAGCAGCCCCCCTCTTTAGATTCAAGCTTTATCGTGCAAGAGACATTCAGTGGTTCTTTCAGTTGCTTGGCTATGATTCATCCTCTTCATCCTCCTCTGCTTCATCCTCCTCTGCTTCATCCTCCTCTGCTTCATCCTCCTCTGCTTCATCCTCCTCTGCTTCATCCTCCTCTGCTTCATCCTCCTC